AAAACCCCTGAGGGATTTTGGGCTACTAATGCGAATGCTGATCAGTCTATCGATCTTGTGTAATGCAAGAGTCTTTCTGTCACTCCAGTTCACCCCTTGTCACCTGTCAAGTGGTGGAGGTGGTGGCTGAACAGCCGTGCTGGCGGAGCAGCCCCCTGTCTGCTCCATCCCTCTGCCCTGAATAGGCTGTGCTGGGACAAAGAGCATGTGCAGGGTGATCTGAGACAACAGGCTGCTTAATAGCTGCTGGTTCCTCGTCCTTGCCTGTTAGTCCAGGTAGACACTTTGGCTTGGGGAAATGCCAGCTGTGCTCTGGCACAGCACTGATGAGGGATCTGGGGAGCACCTGTCCCAGCCTGAAATGCTGATTATGCCCAGAACTTGTGGCTTTGGTTGTGAGGGCAGCTGCCTTGTCTGCTTGAGGCATGCTGGGTGGTTGCTGTGGCTGAGCTGGTGCCTGCCACAGCTGGTCCCAGCGCCAGTGGAGTGGAGCTTCTGGGGCAGTGTCCAGCCTGTGAGCAGGGACCTGCCATGCATTTCTGTCGTGGGAGCTGTGCGGTGGCTGCGCCTGAAGGGTTAATGCCTGTGATTTGCCCCCTGAGTAGGGGAGGGTCTGAGAGACCATGGGATGCTAGTGAGCTTCCAGACGGATGCTGGGGAGGAAACAGACTAAAGAAGAGAGCAGCCCCATGTACTTCACCTGCTTGGAACCGACAGCTGGTCCTGGGCGTGCGGACGCTGCCAGGGCGGAAGGTCGCTCTCCTGCCGCAGTGTGGCTCCGCAGCCCTTGCCAGTATGGCTGGGACATGACACGGGCTGCAACTTTGGCTCGTACAAGGTGCTCTTGTGGCTGTTGACCCTGGACAGGATGGACCTCTGCACCACCAACAGAGCCAGCCCCGGCGGCCGCTGCCAAGCCGGGATGCCTGGCGAGGGGAGCGCCTTGCCGGAGGGCTGCCAGGCCGCCCCAGCGCTCTTGGCAGGCGGCGGGGGGCTTGGAGGATGCGGGGCTAGCGCCGCTGGAAAGCAATTACCTCCCCGCTGCGTCCGGCCCTAATCCCCTCACACGGCGCGCAAGGAGCCGGCTCGCCAAACAAGGCTCAATCAGGTTAAAGTGTGAAGTCAGGATTAGCCGAAAGAATGAGAGCGTGGTAATAGCCCCGGCCTCCCCGCCCGGCCGCCGCAGCCCCGCTGCGGCCCCCTCCTTCCCGCCCGCCCTCCGGCCCGCCGGGCTCTTGCCGGGGAGATTAAGGCTGCCGGGGTTTGTTCGCCTGAGTGGGCTCCCCACTGGGAAGCCATGTCGAACAGTTTTGCTCGGGCGCCCCGCTAAGCGCCGGGCAGGGCGTCGCTCTGGGGGGTTGGCTCCCGCCGCCGAGCCCCTGCCAGCCCCGAGGAGCCGTGTCCCCGCGCCTGGCTCCTCGCCGAGCCTCCCCGGGAACCCACAGCGGGACGGGGCTGTGGCTGCCGGGCGAGGCAGCGCCGGGGCAGCTCCTGATCTGCCACGGATCCTGCGCCATCCTGCACACAATGGGACAGGGCAGCTGGGTGTAAGAAAGCCCCCAAAATCCCAAGCCCTTGAACACCACCATCCCTCATACTGCTCAGCCAGGGGTGGGACTTGTGTGGATATAGTCTGGCCATGAGGCTCTCGGGGGAAGTAGAATAAAAGTGGCCACCCGCCTTCTTGCCATCACACAGCTGTGGGCTGGAGCTGGCTCTGCCGTTGTACAGGCATGTGCTGGGTGAAAAAATCCCTGTGGGAGGTGAGCCTGAGGACAGAGGTCTTCTCCATCACCTGCTCACCCCTTGTCATTCTTCCCCCTTTGCACTCCTGGGCTACTTGTGCCATGCAGAGACAAACTCCAGCTGCATGGTGCCCTGGGAGCATTACCCTCGGTGGATGGTGGTGCTGTGAATGGGCTGGCTGTTTGGGCATCCCCTGGATTCAGTAACCAGGAACTCTCAAACTTTGAGCTTTAGGACAATACCTGGAAGTGAAACCAGAAAAGACAGTGAGGGCGGCTTTGGCAACTCCCCCTCCTCTGTCTGTGCCTGTCCATCAGCTGGTCCCCAGCGAGACTGTCAGACCTGTCAGTGCCCGTGGTCACCGCTGCAAGCTGGCACTCCACATGCGATGGCAACGACACATTTGTATTTGGCGGGGTATGAGGCAGCACCGATGCAGCCGCCGCGGGTGCTGAGAGCGGCGCGGTGGAGCGAGGAGAAGCCGTGCCATCTGCTGTTTCTTCCGCGCCAAAGTGTAAAGCAAACATAGCTGGGAGCTATGAAACACCAGGAGGGAAGGGGCCGTGCCTTGTTCCAACGCCGGGGCCCAAGAATCCCACAGGCAGAGCATGTGTTTGTCCTGGTGTCGTCAGCTGTGTAACCATGCAATCTAATCTAAGCCTGGTGCCGGGGCCTTGCTGAAACCCTCGAATCCAGCGTCTGTCCCTCTTGGCTTCGGTACCCCCAACGGCAGCACTTCATCAGTGACTGTCACAAAAAGCTGTGAAGGGGAGAAGCCTCGCAAAGTCAGTTGCAACCTTCTAGCAGCGTTTCCCTCGCAAGCTGTAAATGAGCAGCTTGGAGACAGACGCCTGGGTTTACTCCCTGGGCGCGCTGGGAGTCCCATGTGCTGCAAGCGGAGAGATGCAAAGTTTTCATGGGGGAACAAAAGAAGATGTGGGCAGGACCTGCCCAGGCAGGCAGCACCAGAGCTGGAAGAGGGGTATATAGCACTGAAGCGTGGTGCTTATCTCCGTGATGGGTTTTATGTTGGAGGGATAGGCAGATGCCAAGAAGGAAGGTGATGCATTGATTGCATTGCTAGGAAGAGTGGTGAACTTCACCTGGAGGGTTCATAGAATCATAGGATGGTTTGGGTTGGAGGGGACCATTTAGTTCAAACTCCCTGCCATGGGCAGGGATGGCCCCCATTAGACCAGGTTGCTCAGTGCCCCATCCAGCCTGGCCTTGAACAAACTTCCAAGGATGGTGTATCCCAAAAGTTCTCTGGGCAACTTGTTCCTGCAGCTCACCACACTCACAGTAAAGTTTCTTCCCGACACTTAATTTAGATCTCTCTTTTAGTTTCAAACTGCTCCCCATTGTCCGATCACTGTTTAATAATGTTGCTCTTTGTCTTTTCCAAAAAGCATTTTATAAGGGATTCCTTCTGGGAGCTAAAAGGAAAAAGAGAAATTGGTGCAGTGGTGTGTTTTTCTGAAAGGTCAGTGCAATTGCCAGGCTCATCACATCCCCAGCAGAGTACAGGAGAAGACGTTTGCATCCGAAGGAGTGCTAAGGTGTCAGGGACTGCTGTAGATGTCAGGTCCTTCCCCTTTGGAGAGGGTGAGGGGACCCTGATCCCCTTGGGGAGGGGGAGGAGGTGTCGCCCCGGAGCTCTGGGAACAGCTGGCGAAGGCAGTGCAGGCAGCACAGACAGGGCAGCCTGGCAGTGCCGCCGCGTGGGTAGCGGTGAAATTGCGCCTGCTGCTCGCAGAGGAGCTGGCCTTTTCCTTCTCTGTTAGCCTGGACCGTTCCAGAGGCGGCATCTCCCTTCCTCTTCCCCAGCACTGATGTTTTGCCAGCCGGGTTTGATTCTCCAGGAACGACCCAGAGCGATGCATTACTATGCAGGGGGCAAGGGCATCTCGCTGGGACCATTTGGCATCTCCTTGGTGGCTGGGCACCCAACCAGATGGCAACCCTGCTGCTAGGCAGACCCACTGTCCTTGTGTTTTGCTTCTCCTTCTGCATCTGTGCAAGTGATGCTGGTGCTTTCCTCTGGGAACATTTTCTTGTTGTGGCAGTGAGGCTTTCAGCTGAGGGGAAGTCCCAGTTTTGAGACCTCCAGGTATTTTGCAAGCAGCCTGTGTGCCATGCTGAGCCCATTTTTTGGAGGAAATGAGGGCATGGGGAGAAACGTGGATGCTGTGCCTCCATCCTGGCCCAGTCCAACTGCCCGAGGGTAACAGTGAACAGGCTTTGTTGTGTTGAAGCAGAGCTGGTGAGCACTGAGTGTGATATGCTGATACCTATGGACGCCCCAAACACCTCTTGGGGCTGGGATGGTGGTGTCTGTGTGGCCTGTGTAATGCCAGGGAACACTATCTGTGCAGGATGCCCTGTTCCTACTCCTCATTCACCCATGGACTTGCTTGGATTTGCATAGGGAAAATACTGTGTTGTGCCTCAGCTTCCCTGTGCCAGGAAGGAGGTGGGGACTTGACTTCCTGCCTCAGAGGTGGCTGGAGCAGGACTGTGCTGGCGTGGAGCTGGGAGCAGGCAATGCAGCTCAAACGAGCTCCAGACCCTTATGGTGGGAGAGGGAATGGCTGCTTGGGAGCCACCGGGAAAAAATATGACAGGCAGGTCTTCCCAGAACTGAGCCAGTCCACCCAGACCCTACTTGCAGTGAGATTTTTGGTCTTTATGCTCATTAAAAGCCAGCACAGGCATAGTAGGGAATTTGATCTGCTGCCAGCCCCGCAATACAGAGCCCTTGCAGGCCTGGCGTGCCCTGGCATTGCAGAGCAGGTGATTACACAGACAGTGCTGTGCAGTGATGAAGTAAGTAATGACCTGATTATTTGTGCCCTCTGAAGTGCAGGTCAGGCTCCATGGGAATGCCTCCTGGAACCACTAAGTGTAATTACCAGTTAATCAGCAGGGACCTGTAATTATAGCAGCCAGAGAGTATTTAAGTATGGAGGGTTTTCCCAGAGCCGTGCCACGCAGCTCCGCTTGTCTGAGCCAGGGACAGCAATGCCCAGGGAGCCCCATTCACTTTCAGCCTCCATGAATGGAGCTGGACTTGCCTCAGGACAGCCAGCAGACCAATGGTCAGACAAGGACCTGAAGCTAAATTACAGTTCATGAGAGCTCCTGAGGAATCACAGAGTACTGGGGCATGCCCCTGCCTGTGGATGCCCTGCTCCCATGGGGCGTCATGCTTTGCAGGCACTGCTCATTTTCCTTCCTGTCTCTTTCTTCTGCAGGGATCTGAGTGAGAACTTCATCCAGGCCATCCCCAGGAAAGCGTTTCGTGGAGCCACCGACCTCAAGAACCTGTAAGTCATGGCAGTTTTGGGTATGAGGGAGTTTGGGGTCAGGTCTGGTGGCAGGAAGTATTGGAAGCCTTTCTACCTGTGCTGTCCCATCAGTTCTCTCTCTGATTTTCTCCTTCAGGCAACTGGACAAGAATCAGATCAGCTGCATCGAGGATGGAGCTTTCCGTGCCTTGCGGGGGCTAGAGGTCCTGTAAGTGGCCAGGAGCCGGCTGGAGCCTCCAGCCTGGAAACCCCATGTGGGGTGAGAGTGTCCCTGGGTGTCCCCACTTTCTGAGGTGCTACAGGGACATCCCCAGCATGCCATTTCTGCCTGGCCTCGAGGAGGGGCTGAGCAGGGGTCTGGTATCACTGCTGCAGAGCTGTGCTCCAGGGTCTGATCCTGCCCTGGGGCCTACCTGGCTGCAGCTGGCTGTGGAGAGGAGAAACCTGGAAAGGGCAACAAGTCCTGCCTAGGCATTTGGGCTGTTTCCAGCCTGTGCTTCTCCATCCATTCACCCGGTGCCAGGGTGTGGGGATGTGCTGTTGCTCCCAGGGGTTTAGTGCCACCTGGATCATCTCACATTCCTGTTTACAGCCTGTCCACCCTGACCTGCCCCACTTTGTCTTCCTGCAGGACCCTGAATAACAACAATATCACTTCTATCCCCGTGTCCAGCTTCAACCACATGCCCAAGCTGCGGACGTTGTGAGTGCAGATGAGTGAGGGGCCGTGAGGGTGGGAGGGACCTCCTGATCTTGAGTGGGTTGACCACAGTTCTGCTGCTGCTGTTGGCAGCTCAGCAGTGCTGGGACAGCACTGTGGGGATGGAATGGAGGGGATACCCCTGCAGAGCATCCCCAAACACTGCCAAGCAAGGTGGCCATGGCAACTGGCGCAGATGCTCTTGGGCTCCTCCGTTTCTCCCTCTTCATCCTTTGGGATGAGCCAGACTGAGGCAGCCAGAGAGCAGTGGGGTGGGCAGGAGCTGTCCTGTGGCTGCTGACTGCCCCATCCACCTGCAGCCGCCTGCACTCCAACCATCTCTTCTGCGACTGCCACCTGGCCTGGCTTTCGCAGTGGCTGCGCCAGCGTCCCACCATCGGGCTCTTCACGCAGTGCTCTGCTCCTGCCCAGCTCCGTGGCCTCAATGTGGCTGAGATCCAGAAGAATGAGTTCAGCTGCTCTGGTGAGGGGGACAAGGAGGTGGTGGGTGCCAGGGCCGGGTCACGGGCCAGGGAGACAAAGCGTGTCCTGTCAGTGCAACCCAACTCCACTCCCTACCACATGCCCGAGCTCAGAGCCTGGATGCATGCTGTGGGTTCATCTCAGGTCAGCACAGTTCCTGATATGGGGACAATATGGGGACAACACCACCCTGTCAGTGTGACAGTGCCTCAGTCTGAGCCCTTGGAGCTGTGTGCCTTTGTCACGGGGTTGGGATGCACCAGGACCTTACGCCCCTGTTCAAAAGTGCCACAAACTGTCCCAGCACACGGAGCTGTTACCAGGGTCCTTCCTTGGGGTGCTGCCACAAGCCCACCCGGCCCAGCTCTTTTCAGTTCCAATGCTGGCTGCTTCCCTGGCAGGACAAACGGACCCAGCACGTGCCCAACTCTGCAGCTTGTCCTCTGGCTCCTGCCCAGCCATGTGCACTTGCAGCAATGGCATCGTGGACTGTCGGGGCAAGGGGCTGACTGCTATCCCCGCCAACCTGCCTGAGACCATGACAGAGATGTGAGTATGGCCCCACACCATCACCACTGGGCTCTGGGTGGCTCAAGGCAGTGGGGACACATGAGCAAGCCCTGCAGCTCAGCCCCCCCACAGGGTGGCAGGCCCTCCTTGCCCTTCTCTCACACTGCCCAGATTTAGCCCTGGATTTAGCTGCATTAAAAATGTAAATAGAGAAATAATCTCCTTAGGGGAATCCAATTATGGTGCAAAGCCCCCGCTGGGACAGCACACAAGCACTGGTAATCAGGAGGTCCCCCCAGACCCAAGGTTCTGGGGGAAGAAATGCTCCCCTGACCCCAGCCACCATGATCCCCCCCACCCATGGCACCCCTCCCTGGTGGACAAAGCCCCAACCACAGGATGTAAGTTGCCTCTGGGCAGAACGGTCCCACACCTATGAAGGAACATGCTGCAAGCTTAGGGGTTCTGTAGTCCCCCAGCCCTGTGAATGGGGTGCTGGGGCCTGGCTAGTCCTTTAGCCCTCCTTCCTCCCTCTTCTCTTTGCAGACGTCTGGAACTCAATGGCATCAAGTCCATCCCTCCAGGTGCCTTCTCCCCCTACAAGAAGCTGCGGAGGATGTAATTGTGCACTGTCTACTAGCTCACCCCAAACCCCAAAACCCTTCACTCCTCTGGTCACTGCCATGAGCCTGCAGCCCCTGACCCTGATGGGTGTGGGACACCTCCTGTGACATGGGTCCCCCATATGGCAGCACTGGAGGGAATCTTGAATACCCCCAGCTGTGTATACTGGGTGTTATGGGTTGTCCACTGGGCCCAGAAGGAGGATGGGGATGTTGGGCAAGAGAAGAGGGGACCAGGCCACCTTCTCCCTTTGGGTTTCAGAGACCTGAGCAACAACCAGATCTCGGAGATCGCCCCTGACGCCTTCCAGGGGCTGCGCTCGCTGAACTCGCTGTAAGTGCCCACACTGGGTTGAGTGGGGTGTGGTGGATGCTGCATCCCCTTAACCATGGCCCACACCATTCCCTTATCTCACACCAGCCTTTCTTTCCCAGGGTGCTGTATGGCAACAAGATCACGGACCTCCCCAAGGGTGTCTTCGGAGGACTTTTTGCCTTGCAGCTGCTGTAAGGCGCCACTGGCTGCGTGGGATGCTTTTTGGGGACACAAGGAAGCAGGGCTGAGGTCCCCAACGCCCATGGTGCAGTGCCGGGGGTCCCCAGACTCACATCCTTCTCTCCCTGCCAGGCTTCTTAATGCCAACAAGATCAACTGTGTACGGGCGGACACCTTCCAGGACCTGCAGAACCTCTCACTGCTCTCACTCTATGACAACAAAATCCAGAGCCTGGCCAAGGGCACCTTCACCTCCCTGCGGGCCATCCAGACCCTGTGAGTGCCTGTGCTAGCTCTGATGCCTGGGCAGGGGAGCATCTTGGGGGGAAACATCTTGATGGCTAGCCAGGGCTGGAGCTGGCAGTCACCCACTGTCCCTGGCACAGGCACCTGGCCCAGAACCCCTTTATCTGCGACTGCAACCTGAAGTGGCTGGCAGATTTCCTCCGTGCCAATCCCGTGGAGACCAGTGGTGCCCGCTGTGCCAGCCCCCGCCGCCTGGCCAACAAGCGCATCGGCCAGATCAAGAGCAAGAAGTTTCGCTGCTCGGGTGAGAGCTGTCCCCATCCCTGCCACGGGTGCCCTGCGGCATGGCTGTCCTCAGCCCTGCCCCAGCCTGGTGTCTGTGTGCTCAGAGCGCTGATGTGCTTTTCTTTCCCCAGCCAAAGAGCAGTATTTCATCCCAGGTGAGCAGAGGAGCCACACGCGTGTGTGCGTGGGTGTGTGCATGGTTCCCTTTTGGCCAGGCTGCCTGTGGGGGTGGTTGTGCCAGGGCCCACAGGCTCACCCTGCATTTCCCATCATTTCTGATTGCTGAGTTCCCAGGTGCCACAGTAAAAGAAGCGCTAGGTACCAGATGCAGCATCTCCCATCATGCTGTTATCTGGATGGGCACAGAGGCATCCCCAGAGTCCAGTTCCAGTTGCAAGAGGGTGGTGGACAGTGCCATGTCCCTTGTACCCAGGACAAATATCCCTGCAGATGAACTGCTTGAGGCACAAAGAAGAGTAATACGTGCACAGGGGCTGTGATGAGAGGAGCTGGGGAAGAGACCGAGACCAGCTGGGGGTGTGGGAGGGTCAGAGGAGGAGGCAGGTGCAGCCCCCCGTGCCTCTGCCCATGGGAGCCCACGCTGCCCTATCCATCATGCAGGGACAGAGGATTACCAGCTGAACAGTGAGTGCAACAGTGACGTGATCTGCCCCCCAAAGTGCCGCTGTGAATCAGGTGTGGTCGAGTGCTCCAACCTGAAACTCACCAAGATCCCGGATCGCATCCCGCAGTCCACGGCTGAGCTGTAAGAGTCTCCTCTCTGCCACACTGCTTTCCCTTCTCCAGCAGGAGCATTGCTGGTTCTGGGATTTTGCACAGGGTTTGAGCTGTAGCAGGCCCTTCACAGCCATCCCCTGAGCTCTTTTCCCTGCTGCCCACCCCAGGCGCCTGAACAACAATGAAATATCTATCCTGGAGGCTACTGGCATCTTCAAGAAACTCCCACATCTGAAGAAAATGTGAGTATCAGGCAGTCACAGTCCAGTCAGGAATGCCTATGGTCTGGGAAGGCACACAGAGGTCCTGATGCCAGGGCAGGCTGGGGCATGAAGTGGAGGGCATGTCCCAACCTGATAGTCCCTTGAGGGACTGGCATCACAGGGTGCTCAGTGGGACCTGTGTGAGGCAGGATTCAAGATGAGGTTGGGGCAGAGACCCCATCCCAGCTTTCCCTTCTTCACAGCAACCTCAGCAACAACAAGGTATCAGAGATTGAGGATGGGGCATTCGAGGGGGCATCCTCTGTGAATGAGCTGCACCTCACTGTCAACCAGCTGGAGTCTGTGCGGAGTGGCATGTTCAGGGGCCTGGATGGGCTGAGGACACTGTGAGTCCAACCCCCCTTCCCCGTGATCACAGGGATGGGGACATCCCTACTCCTTGCCTCTCTGCCTTGTCCATGATCTGGGGGCGGTGCTGTCTGCATCACTGCAGGGCCAGCTCAGGAGTGCCTTGCCCGTCAGCTGGCTGTATCCAGAGCTGGGGGGACAGGGGTTTGCTGCTCAGGGACTGGCTCAGGCTCGTCCTGCTGCCCAGCAGTGAGGTGGGCAGAGCCTGGGCACTGCTGAGGTTGGTTTCCCCCATGGAGCCCACCTAGGCTGTTAGGCACCGTGGTTCCCTTCCCTCTGCAGGATGCTGAGGAACAACCGCATCAGCTGCATCCACAACGACAGCTTCACTGGGCTGCGCAATGTCCGCCTGCTCTCCCTGTACGACAACCAGATCAGCACCATTGCTCCGGGAGCCTTTGACACGCTGCAGTCCCTCTCCACACTGTATGTCCCAGGCCCAGGGAGGGGGATGCTTCCGGGCTGTCCACATCGCATCAGAGGGCTGCAGGATGTCCCCTTGCCTGGTGGCTGTTCAAGTGATGCCCTTGTGCTCCTTCCTGTGTGCAGGAACCTGCTCGCCAACCCTTTCAACTGCAACTGCCAGCTGGCCTGGCTGGGGGACTGGCTGCGCAAGAGGAAGATCGTGACAGGGAACCCTCGGTGCCAAAACCCCGACTTCCTCCGGCAGATCCCTCTCCAAGACGTGGCTTTCCCTGACTTCAGGTGTGAGGAAGGTAACTCACTGGCCCCACGGCACTGGGAGTGAGTGGAGACCAGGATTCTCCTCACAGGGTGACACCATGCTCCCTGTCCCAGCACCATCCCTTGCTCCCAGGATGTGCCATGTGGCAAGCCTGGGGCTCAGGGGCCACGTGAGTGCTCTCCCTTAACGATGCGTGAGTTTCCCATCCTGGTACCCAGCCCTTGGGGCTGCACTGAAGTACCCACAGGTGGATATAAAGCCAGGAGAGGATATTGCACCCACTGCATGGCAGGACATTTGTATGTAGGGAGGTCTGTGCTGGCAAATGCTGTGCCCTGGATGCTGGCAGGAGCAGATGTGTAGACAAAACCCACTGGGATTCATTCTGCTCCTTCCCTCCCTCCCTTCTCAGTCTTGCACATGCGCCAGAGCTGGGCAGATGGAGCAGACGGGGAGCGTGCGTGGGGAGAAAAACCTTTTTTTATAAGTTTTTTTTTTTAAATTTAGAGCAGCTTTTGAGCCCTCTGGAAAATATTTACAAACAAATCATCCTTTCTTCTGCTTTCCCTCCTCCACCACGTCAAATACTGAAGGGTTGCATCCCGCGCCTTTCCTAGCGGTGCCAGATAGCATACGGTTGTCCCAGGGACGCCTCTCCCACAGGATCCCAGTGCCATGGCAGGGAAGGGGAGCAGTGCTGGCTCCTCGGGCTGCTTGGCACAGTATCCACTCCCTCTAGCCTGTGTCTGGGAGATGGGTGAAGAAGGTTGTTTCAGGAGGATTTGCAGGGCTGGGCCTCTTCTTCTGCACCCTTCTCTCTGCTGTCCTTGGGACTTCATTTTTATTTGAAAATGGTGAAAATCAGAGCAGCCTTGAGCTCTCTGGTTGTATCCACACTGGTGGGACAGGCAGTTTTGGGGCACAGGAGTGATTCCTGCACTGATGTCTCTCAGCTGTTCTGAGCTGTGCCTGCAACACCCCGCTCTGGGGGCAAGGAAAGATGGTTGGCATGAGAAGGGAGCCATCCTAGGCAGGCACAAGGCATTGAATATGGCCTCACACAATGCCCAGGGACTGGACTACAGTGACTTTGTGGCTTTCTGTGCCCGGTGTAGGTAAGGAGGAGACCACCTGCATCCCTCGGCCCCAGTGCCCACAAGAGTGCACCTGCCTTGACACCGTTGTCCGCTGCAGCAACAAGCATCTCAAGGCCCTGCCCAAGGGGATCCCCAAGAACGTCACAGAGCTGTGAGTGGTGGCCAAGTGCCCAAACTGTCCCCACAACCACCATCAACTTTGCAGTTCTGGGTTGGGGGACTTTGCTGTGGGGTTGCAGGTGTCAGGGCAGAGATACTCCTTCCCACATCTCCATCTTGGCTTTGCAGTGGGAGCAGGACCCCCACCCATCCAAGGGACCCTGTCCAGCCCCAACACCAGCAAGAGGCTCAGCAAAAGCCCCTCTGCTGACTCAGTGTCATGCAAGGGGTGTTGTCACAGCAGCTTGGTCCCTGCTTTTTGATCTTTGTGAGGGTCAGCAAGGGACAGCAGCTGCATTCCCCACACAGCCGTGCAGCCCAGGGCTCTCTCTAGTTCCCAGCAGCCTGTCATCAGTGGCAGGGACAGGGACACCCTGCCTCTGCCACTTCCCCGGCCCCTCCTTGCCATCCCTCTCACCACAGCTGCAGGGATGCTCTTGGCATGCAGGCCCAGCCCCAAGCACACAGGCGATGGGATGTGGTTTGCCTGGGTTCAGCCACCCATCACCATGGGTGTCAGGGAGACACCCAAGCAGCCACGCCAGATCTGGATGTGCAGGCTCCATCGCTGCAAAAGGGGCTCTGTACCCATTTGGGATGCAGGACGGTAGCAAGTCCTGTGTGCAGGGGGTGCAGGCACTGGTTGTGCACAAACATATTCACACCACCCCCACACACCCCTCCACTGTCTTGCACATCCCTCCTCTCTCTACATCCTCCGCTCTCTCTCACACATGCTTTGGGAATGGTTATGGCCTCCCACGCTCACATCAGATGTGTAAAAGCGGCACATGGCTGGCTGCACTTGCACACGTAGGCTGCTGGGAGACTGTCCCTAGGGAACCTGCATGCAAAGCCCCCGGGTGTGCAAATGCACTTGTCCTGCCAGCCTATGAGTCCCCCAAGAACCCCGTAGTGGTGCTGGGTGGGAAGAGATGCTGGAGATGCTTCTTGCAGCCTCAAGTCCGTGGTGGTGCACAAGAGAAAGAGGGGGCAGAGGGAGTGGTCTCCTGCTTCTCAGCCACCCCAAGGTGCTCTTGTTCTCCTTTACAGCTACCTGGATGGGAACCAGTTCACTCAGGTCCCAGGGCAGCTCTCTACCTTCAAGTACCTGCAGCTTGTGTAAGTAGTGGGAGCCCAGGAAGCCAGGGGGCACTGCTGGGACCTGTGGGTGAGAACAGGGGCTGTTGCCATGGTGCATGATCCTGAGGAGGGGCCTGGCAGTGTCCAGGGACCCCTGACATCCCTCTGTGACTCCCCTCTACTCTGGAACACAGCTGTCTGACAGTGATGCTCAGCCCCTGGGTGCTCACCGCCTTTCCTGGTGCCAGGCATGGGGCAGAGGTGGGACAGTGGCATTGCTGCCATCACCCTATGTGACAGCCCTGCTGTTCCCTTGGAGGCTATGTCATGCTGCTGGTGCACCCTATTGCAGCTGAGCAGGCAGGGGAGCAGTGAGAGGGGACGGGGCCCAGCTGGCTCCAGTCCCTGGGGTTTGTCTTTTCCAGTGATCTGAGCAACAACAAGATCAGCTCCCTGAGCAACTCCTCCTTCACCAACATGAGCCAGCTCACCACCCTGTAAGTGCAGTCCTTGCGGCATGCCACACCAGGATACAGCCCAGCCAAGCTGTGGGGGGCTATTCTTAGGGAACCCCAAAGACTGGGGGGTGCTGGGGACACGAGGGTCTCACCCTTCTGCCTGGGTGAAACTGTGGTTTGAGTTGGAGTTCATGCAGGGGCAGTGTGTAGCCCAGGGTCTGTTTCTTGCAAGACACACAGCTGGTTTGGCTCCTTCCCTCCCACAGGATCCTCAGCTACAACTCCCTGCAGTGCATCCCTCCTCAGGCCTTCGAGGGCCTCCGTTCCCTCCGGCTGCTGTAAGTACCTGTCTGTAGCCGAGCTCACAGCCCTGCTTGGCCCTTTCTCTGCTGCTGCCTGTGTCCCTTGTTCCTTATGCCCCTTGGAGTTGGGTGCAGGCAGGCAAGCAGGGTACAGGCTGCAGGAGGAGCGCAGCAGGGCTCAGCAGCCCTTCAGAGCAGACAGTGCATCTGCAGCAGTGACAGTGTGGTGGGGTCCAGCTCTGTCACACATACCTGGACCTGTGACATGGGGGCAGCCCAACTGGTTGCAGTTCTTACTGCCCACCCTGGAGCCATGGGCATTACAGGACCCTCTGTTCTCTGCAGGTCTCTCCATGGCAATGACATCTCCAGCCTTCCTGAGGGCATCTTTGCAGATGTCACCTCCTTGTCCCACCTGTGAGTATCTCCCACTCCACAGGGCTCAGGGCTGGACCCAGGCTCAGGAGACTTCTGAAAATTAGGCTGAGCCTGGCTTCCCTGAAGGGTGAGCTGCCTTCTCCCCTCTTCTCTGGGCTGGCACTTGCGACATCATTTGTTGGGTGGTGTTGTGACCCGCTTCCCTCCCCATGCTTGGGCTCAGGACCAGGTGTGCCGCTGAGCCTCCCAGTACTGCTGGGATGACCCTATGGTCCTAGCTGGATGCTATGTGGAGTCTTTCTGCAGTCCACTAGGTCTCTGGGGTCCCCCAAAATGTGGGTCAAGCCATGCAAAATGGTGACATGGCTGTGGGTTGGCAGGGGCTCCTCTGACCCACACCAACACGTTGTTAGCCTTCTGCCAGTGCACTTCCCTGCAACAGCTCCCTGCAAATCTGTCACCAAGTGTCCTGCTGCCAGTGGTGGTGTTTCAGCCCCTCTTTAAGGTAGCCTGTACCTCAGGAGCACTGCTCCATACCCACTACCTGAGGATGGGGTTCAGCTTTGCTCATGGTGCTTTTTTGGTCCCCTCCCTGTCTCTGCTAAGCTGTTCCCACCTGTCTGCCAGTGGCCACTCCTGCTCTTGTTATCCTGGGAGTCTCAGACTGTTCCTTCAGTCTGCAAGGAGCATCTTGACTTCCAGTCCTGACCTCCTCATGTTTTTGGGGAGCAACACTGCTCGCTCTGCTATGATTTCCCTTGCCAAAGCCTGTGTTGCCTTTGCTGCTTCCAGCCGGCACTGCCAGTTCCCACAGGCAGAGCTGTATCACCAGCCAGTGCTGTGGGTGCTGTAGGACTGAGAGCCCCAGCAGATGAGCTGTCTGAACTGCCTCCTTCTGGGCTGCCATCTCCTTCCTTCGTCACAGATATTGGTCACACTGGCCCTCCATCACCGCTGACCTTTTCAGTCAAGGAGGATCCAAAGGGGCATCCAGCCCCTCAGCCTTCCACATCATCTGCTGCTTCCCTGCCCTTCTCCACTGTGGAGCAAGCAACCCTCCCTTCTCCTCCTCTCCCAGGGCAATTCTTTCTTATCCCCTGATGCTGTCTGCATGAGCTCCAGCCACAGCCCACTGCTTATCCCTATCAGCCTGCTCTTGTGTCCCTGTCTTGCACGCTTGTGCAGCAGAGCTCAGGTTGGCCCTGCAGCTCCCATGCAGGTCCTATTGTTTCTGCAAGGCCTCAAGGTCCTTTGGCCAGTTTGCTGGTCCAGGCAGCTTTGTATGTGTGCTGCAGAAGGACTGCTAAGGATTTCTGTGTGCACAGTGGAGGAGAGCCCCAGGGAAGAGCACAGGGCACCACGTGGGCTGTGGGGCTGGCAGCAGGGTGGTCTAACTGAGCAGCATTGTGGGGCTGTGTGTCCCCGTCCTCCCTCCATGAGCAGCAGCTCTGGTGGGTCCAGAAATGGAGGAGTACTGGTTCCCCCATCATTTGGCAGTCCAGCCCAGTGATGGAGTTGTACCCAGTCCCAAGGTCTCCAAGCCCAGTTCCCTCCATGGGGCAGTGGGTGCAGTTTTGCCCTTCTCCTCCTGCAGAGCCATTGGGGCCAACCCCCTGTACTGCAGCTGCAACCTGCGCTGGCTCTCCAGCTGGGTCAAGACGGGGTACAAGGAGCCAGGCATCGCCCGCTGCGCTGGGCCCCCCGAGATGGAAGGCAAACTGCTGCTCACCACCCCTGCCAAGAAGTTTGAGTGCCAAGGTGAGAGGTGCCCCTGCTGTCCGTCCATGCCCCTCTCTGTCACAGGCAGCTGGGCTGCCTCCTGCCCCTTGCCCAGCAGAGCAGTGCTCAAGTCTGGGTGGCTCCAGGATTTCAGCCTTTGAGCTGCTTTGTGGATGAGGGGGACCAGGATGCTTCCATCCTCTTACCTGGCTGGTGGCACATCCCTAGTGACCGAGCAAACTGGTGGCTGTCCCATTTACTGGCGCACAGCCCCCTGGCAGGGAAGGGTCTGCTCCCAGACACAGCTGAGGCTCTGTCCCCCACATCAGTGATCACAAAAGGACACGTCCCCATCACTCCCTGCACTGACAGTCATCCCCGTGCCTTCCATCCCGCAGGCCCACCCTCCCTGAGTGTCCAGGCCAAGTGCAACCCCTGCCTCTCCAGCCCCTGCCAGAACCAGGGCACCTGCCACAACGACCCCCTCAGCTTCTACCGCTGCACCTGCCCCAGTGGCTACAAGGTACCCTAGTCCCAGGGGTCCCCATTGCACGGGGACATGTCCCTGCAGAGGGCAAGGGAGCAGAGCAGGGGCTTTGCCATGCCCCTGGGGCTTGTGTCTGCACGACCATCTGCCCTCCCTGTGTGCCCCAATGTCCCACTGAGTGTGATGGGGCAGGGAGAGCTGGGCAAGGTGCTGTGGCACCCTCCTCGCTCCCACCTCTCCATCCTTCCCCAGGGCAGGGACTGTGAGGTGGCAGTCAGTGGCTGTTCCTCCAACCCTTGTGCCAATGGAGGGACCTGCCAGCCTCAGGAGGGGGAAGGAGCCGGGTTCAGGTGAGTGCTGGACAGGAATCCATGAAAGGTGGGTATTTGGACAGCAGCATGAAGAGTTTTGATACTTCCTTCTCCTCCTGCCTGCTCCCTTGGGCATATAGCTGGGATACTGGACTCATATGGTAGCTCCAGCCCATGCTGCCTGGCTCTACTTCCCCATGCTCCTCATCCTTTCAGGCTCCTGAGCCAAGGTCATGGCAGAGAAAGGGGGTCCCATCACTACAGGAGGCATGGGGAGGTAAAGGATAGTGGGATTTGTGGCTGGGAGCAGTTTCTGTTGTCCTGGGGTCACTGCTGCTCCCTGTGGGGCTGCCTTGCCCCCACATAATCTCCACTGCCCTGGATGCTTCACGCCTTTCCAGGAACTGGGATACAATTAGGAGCTGAAAATAGATGGCAGGCCGGGGTGAGGAAGTGGACTGCACAGCCAGCCTCTTGTCATGGCAACTCGGCATCCTTGGGCAGGCTGTGCTGCCACCCACCCCTGTAACCAGTGTTCAACAGGGGGACACCAAACCCAGCTCTTGGCATGCATGTGTGCTCTGCACCAAGGTCCTGTCCTGGTTATTCTGGGGGAACCACCCCCAGGCACTCCATTTCCCTTTCCCCCCTGACACTCCCCCTGCCCTGTGGCAGGTGCCTGTGCCCAGCGGGCTTCGAAGGCCTGAGCTGCAGCGCCACCAGCAACCCCTGCAAGGAGCACGTCTGTGAGAACGGGGGCTCCTGTGTGCCCAGTGCCACCAACTACACCTGCCTCTGTCCTGCCCACTACACAGGTACCTGGAATGGGGCTAGCCATCCCCAAATCATGCAGACCTGGCAGGGAAATGTGCCCAGTACTGCCTTCCCACCTGTGAGGCTGACAGCAGCTCTGCCTGCTGTCCCAGTGCCTGTCACCATGCCGTCTGGGCTCAGCTGTCCCAACTTTGGGTACTCTGCTGAACCCCCACACCCTGGGATGCCCTCAGTGCCTGGCTTGGGCAGGAGCTGTCTCCTGTGGAGCAGAGCCTTGTGCCTGTGGGGGTGGAAGCCACAGGCATGGAAACTCTCTGCCTTGAGCTGAGGCCCCCAGGGGTTCCCCATGTCCCGCAGGGACTGGAGCTGCCCCTCTGGCCCTGGAGCTGATGGGCATCCCCTCTTCTGCTTTGCAGGGGAATTCTGTGAGCAGCCACCCGATTTCTGCTCATCTGAGCTCAACCCATGCCAGCATGACTCCACATGCATCTCTACCAGCCAGGGGCCCAGGTGAGCCCCCTCTCCCTAAACCACTTTTCCTGGCTGTGTGAGAGTGGGTAGATTTGCTTTTGGGGAGCTGCAGCTTGCAGGCTGGTGAGGGGGCATGGGGAGGGGGATGCCAGGAGGAGCAGGTGCCCATTGTTGAGGGGAGAATGAAGGGGCAGCCCTGAACCCTCCACCTGCCCCAGGTGTGTGTGTGCTCCTGGCTACGTGGGGAGCAACTGCAGCGAGGACTTCGATGACTGCCAAGACCATCGGTGCCAGAACAATGCCCGCTGCCTGGACGAGGTGAACGGCTACTCCTGCCTCTGCACCGAGGGCTACAGGTATCACCAGGAAGACGGGGCACCTGGGATAGAGGGGATGGTTATGTGTCATTGCAGGAGGGACAGGTCCTGGCTACCAAGTCCATTAATCCATCCCTCTCACAGTGAAAGGAAGGAGTGGGGATAGAAGCCTATGTTTCTGTGGATGGAAGCTGGGCAGGGAGCCAGCATCCCTGGGGAGGGACCCCAGGGCACAACTCAGCATCTAGGCATCCCTCTGATGCCAGTGTATGGAGAGCATCCCCAGGGACCCCAAATCGGGGGTGTTGTTAGAGCAGGGGGCAGGGTGTAGGGTGCATTCCCAGCCCCCTGCCCAGCAGCACCCTTGGCCCTGCAGTGGCCAGCTCTGCGAGATGCCGCCCCACACCGCTGGCCAGTCTGGTCTCTGCGAGCGAGCCGAGTGCCAAAACGGGGCCCCGTGTGTGGAGCGTGGTGCCCGCGCCCTTTGCCAGTGCCTGCCCGGCTTCGGTGGCCCCAAGTGTGAGAAGCTGCTGAGCGTCAACTTTGTGGACCGTGACACGTACCTGCAGTTCACTGACCTGCAGGACTGGCCACGGGCCAATATCACCCTTCAGGTGAGGGCAGGGGAGATGTGGGGATATTGGGGGGGTTGGCACTGGGAATGCTGCCCCAGGGATGTGGGCTCCCACCTCTCCCTGTGGCAGGTCTCCACAGCTGAAGGCAATGGCATCCTGCTGTACAACGGTGACAGTGACCACATGGCTGTGGAGCTGTACCAGGGCCACGTCCGGGTCAGCTATGACCCTGGCACCCACCCCAGCTCAGCCATCTACAGGTACGTGCCACCCCTTCCCTGCTCACTGGGGACCACCACCCCTATAGCATAGGCTTGGAGGCATCCCTGGTGACCCAGCCATCCCCCCCAGTGCTGAGACCATCAACGATGGGCAGTTCCACACCGTGGAGCTGGTGACCTTCGACCAGATGGTGAACCTCTCCATTGATGGTGGCAGCCCCATGACCATGGACAACTCAGGGAAGCACTACACGCTGAACAGTGAGGCTCCTCTCTATGTGGGAGGTAAGACAGGGATCAGGGGAGCAGTGGAGGGCGTGGGGGGCGTCCAGGTGTGCTGATGGTCCTACTCTCCCCAGGCATGCCTGTGGATGTCAACTCGGCTGCCTTCCGCCTCTGGCAGCTCCTCAATGGCACCAGCTTCCATGGATGCATCCGCAACCTCTACATCAACAACGAGCTGCAGGACTTCACCAAGACGCGGATGACGCCAGGGGTGGTGCCGGGCTGTGAGCCCTGCCGCAAGCTCTACTGCCTGCACGGCATCTGCCAGCCCGCCGGCGCCCAGGGCCCCGTCTGCCACTGTGAGGCCGGCTGGGACGGGCCCCACTGCGACCAGCCCCGTGGTGGCCCCTGCCAGGGGCACAAGTGAGTGCCCTCACCCTGCTGGCTGCCCTGCAGCCATGGTTCTGTCCTGTTGGCTGCCCCACAGTGACCCATCTGCCCCACTGGCTGTCCTGAAGCAATAGCACGGCCCCACTGGCTGTCCAGCAGCCATGGTCCTGACCCACTGGCTGCCTCACAGAGTTGTGCCTGCCCCATTTGGTCTTTGGCTGCGCCAATTCATTGGTGACCCCACCATAACTGAGCTGCTCCATTGGCTCATTGGCTGTCCTTTGCCCATTGGCTGCCTGACCACAATTCCTTTGCTCCATCAGCTCATTGCCACTCTCTTCCTCACTGGCTTCTCCACTACACTACTCAATCCTTTGCTCACTGGCTGTCCCTTCCTCTTGGCTGCCCCACCCACACCTCCCACTGGCTGTCCACCACCCTCCCCTGTGGCTGGTTGGTGGTGGCGGTGTTGTGCCATCACAGTGGTGCTGTGCCAAGGCACTGCCATGCTGTGTCAGTAGCACTGAGTTGTGCCAGGGCTGTTCTGTGCTGGGGGTGGTGTGACTGAGCCGCAGCGGTGCTGTGCCGGTCCCAGTGCAGTACTGTGCTGGTGCCAGGCTGGTGCTGAGCCATGCCATGCCATGCTCGCTGCTGGTGGGCTATGCACACTGGTGCCATGCCACGCCACACTGGCAGGTCCTGACAGCACCGGGTGCCCACAGGTGCGTGCATGGGCTGTGCCTGCCCCTCGACACCCTCTCCTACAGCTGCCAGTGCCAGGAGGGCTACCAGGGCGCCCTCTGCAACCAGCCTGCTGAGCCACCTGACCCCTGCCACCACCAACCCTGTGTCCATGGCCACTGCCACCTCACCCCAGGTGGCCAGCCCACCTGCGAGTGCCACGATGGCTACACCGGAGCCCTCTGTGACCAAGGTAGGTGCTGAGGGTGTGGGTGTCCAGGGAGGGCAGCCCCACACCACGACACCAGGCTAAGCATTGCTGTCCCACTGTCCCGCAGAGCCGGAATGCCGCGGGGAGCCAGTGCGGGACTACCACCAGGTGCAGCGGGGCTATGCCATCTGCCAGACAACACGGCCGGTGGCCTGGGTGGAATGCCGGGGGACCTGCGGCGGCCCTGACGCCGGGTGCTGCACTGGACTGCGGCTCCGGCGCAGGAAATACGCCTTCGAGTGCAGCAACGGTGCAACCTTCGTGGAGGAGGTGGAGAAGCCCAGCAAGTGCGGCTGCAGCCAGTGCCTGTGAGCAGCCACCGGCCCTGCAGAGCTGGGGGGCTGCCAGGGAGACCCCCCAGAGCCAAGGACCTCACTTTGCCCTGTGGGCATGGTGCTGCTCTCTGGGTGTTCCGAACTGCAGCTGCATCCAAGGAGCCCGGCAGAGGGTAGAGCTGGTGCATCTAGAAGGTTGGGAAAGAAAAAGGAAAAAAAAAAAACCGAAAAGGAAAAAAAACGAAAAGAAAAAAAAAAAAAACACAAACAAAGCAAATGTGTAGATAGAGAATTTTTTTAAGAATTGCAGCTACACAGATGTGTGGATACAGCATGGGCACCCTGCCCACCTGCCCCTGTCCTCTCCCTGCGGCACTCTGCCTCCCTGCCAGCACAGCCCTGCAGCCATGGAGGGCAGTGCCTGCATCCCCTGCGTGTTCCCTCCCTGGCAGCCCTGTCCCTTGCATCCAGCCCAGCAATCCGAGGGCTTTTCCAACACCTGGAACTGGAGGAAAGGGGCCTAATATGGCAGAACGGTGTGAACCATGGCAAACTGTGACTCGCAGAGAGCTGCATGGTGTAGGCAGCATCCTGCAGTCCTGGTGAGCCTTCCTTTCCTCCAGCAGCCCTGGTCTCCCTGCTAAGGACCTGCTGTTGCCCTGACAGCAGCTGCAGCAAGCAGTTCCCTGGTGTGGTGACCAGGGTGCTGGAGCCCAGAGTGCCCCAAATAATGTCACAAGCTCCATGGCCACAGCCTGACCATCTGATGGCACTCCTGGTCTGTGCATGCCAGCTGGGCTCAGCAGGGCACAGGGCGTGCACGGGTCCAGCCCGCTCTGGTCACGTCTGGGCCACACTGGTGGAGCAGGACCAGGCACACTGAGTGGGGGACAGGCAGCAGTGTGCAAATGTTACTGGGGAGGGAAGGTGTTCCCAGTGCCAACCTGCTCTGTGCCATGGGGACCAGCACTGTACCATTCATGTGGAGAAGGCCCCAAATATCCCTGGCCCAGCCAGAGGGTTCTGCTCAGAGGTGGGAGCCATATGAGGCACCACAGGAGTCCCTTTCTTCCAGGCTCTGCCCTGGGGGAGTGGGCCTGCAGCTGGGCAAAGGTGCCCCATGTTCCACTGACCCAGCCAGCAGGAGCAGGAGGCTGCTGGGACAACCAGAGTACAGGTTTGTTACATTCATCACCGGTGCCTCAACTTTGTGGGTGCCAGGGCCAGTTGAAGAGACTGATGTCCAAGCCTGCAAACCTAGAGCCAACACCACTGCCAGGGCAGGACCCACCAGCTCTTGGACTCAAGGATCCATGTCTGGACAACACCTCTCCAAAGCCCACAGTGTCAGGGGATATGCTGGGCTGGAGTGGGAGCAGAGGCACACAGGGAACTCATGCTGGGGCACTGCACCCACCCAACATCCACAACAGTGTCACCTGTCTGACTGTGGGGGCCAAGGGTGGTGGGTCCTGACCTGGGACACTGCACGTGGCTGGACAGTGAAACTCCACATCACCCAGATGGACAGACTTATCCCAGGGCTGCAGCCCTGCACCCCTCTGCACCGCTCCAGCATTTTGGCTTCAGGTCCACACTGCCAGCTGCAGCCGGGCTCCGGTTATCTCCATCGGATACACTCGGCTCTATCGGTGCTCTCACCATCCCTCCTCACCACTGGTATCCAGGACGTTCCCACCACCACGGGGATATGTTTCTCCACCAGTGCCCTCTCCATGGGAGCTCCTCTGCCGCACAGAGGAGCCGGGACGCGTCTCATTTTGCCTGTGGCCCGGCTGGGGCTTGGTTGTGTTGTGTTTCTGTTCTTGCTGTACGCTAACCGCTAAAGTATCTCTTTATACAGAATACTTACAGATTCTAATATATATTTGTATTTCATTTTGTTATAGTATTTTTATATGTTTGGGGTCAACAAATGATGTTTTCTTTTTGTTTACAGATGCTACTGGGCAGGAAAATGACGGTGGCTTTGTTTGGCCCGTGGGGTTTGTGTGTGTCACTATTGAAGACGCTGGTTTGTACTAGGCTGGCGAGGGAGGCGCTGGGCATCCTTCCGCTGGCAGAGGCTGTATTGTTTTAGGAGATGTTTGGTATTGTCTATGTTGTCTTCCATGTGAACATGACATTTATTCATTCAGAGGCTTGGCCTCTTCTTTCCTGGAGGGGAGAAGGGGGCAGCTAGTGCCTGGGAGCTGCTGAATGCATGAGGAGGTGGCACAGGCTGGGAAGAGTTGATCCTGCCATGGGGGATGATTTGCTACTCCCAGAACAGCCCTGGCCATTGCTTCTGGCCAGAGTGTCACCCCCATGCAACACCTTGCAAAAGGAGCCACTGCATGAGGCAGTGTGAGAAGCCCAAGGGCCAGTGCCTGCTGTGAGGATGGAATGGCTACAGGCTGTAGGGGAAACTGGGCACATGTAGCTCTCTGGAGACAGGGAGAGGGGCCTTGGTAGCAGTCCCCAGGAACACAGAGAGGTTGCACTGTTGGTGCCACAAACATAATCTGCCGCAGCTCAGGCACTGGTGTGGGAGCGCTGAAATCCCACACGGGCATTTATATCCCCCCTCCAGAGGGAGAGGGTCACACTTGGAGGGTGCCAGCCCACTGCCCCCCACCTTGTGCACTCACCTTTGCCCTTCCCCACTTACCACACCAAACAAATGCTGATATCAAAGAAACGTTTAATAAGCTGCAATAAAATACGGACCTTTAGAAAGCTCATAGGGTGAATATCAACAGTGAGGAAGAAAAGAAAACAAGGTTGTGGGAATCCTTGAGGAGTTCAGATCTAAGTCAGGGACCTTTTATCTGGAACAAGAACACAACTTTTTCCATAGGCTAGGATGAAATAAAAGACAGGAGCACAGAGTTCACAAAATGTCAACATTTAGAGAGTTGATACATATTCAAAGTTCAAATGACCCAGCTCTTATAGCTATACATACTGATTTAAAGCAACTTAATATAATTTTATTTTCTTTTTCTTTTATATATACACTTTCAAAGGTTCGTCAGGTGAGGTATGTAAACATTATTTAATGGAAACTCCTCTCCACATTTCCAACCGAGAATTCACAGCAGACAGTTCATTTTCCCTACTCACGACGCAGTACTTCCTGCTCCCTACAGCAACCGGGAATGCCGTCCCAAGCCACGGCTCTCCCAGGTGCAGTCACCGGCTCCCACTTCCCACTGCTGGTCTGGTCTGTACAGTTCACATTGCTTAGGCTCAAACATACAGTACCGGACAGGAGGAATTTCAGCTCAGTGTCTAAAATTCATATAGAAACAAACAGAGAAACAAAACTCTCCCAGGGAAGCAGACACAGATGAAGGAAAAACATTTGCCATCAGGGTGGAGATAATATGTAAATGCTGAGCATCTTAAGAAAAAAATTACTGTGTTGTTGTTTCCTTTTTTCTTTTTTTTTTCTTTTTCTTTTTACACACCTGTTCCAAGGGTGAAGGAAGCGTGGGGTTGGTGAGGGGTCCTGCAGGGCTGGGACCCAGCAGCACTCCTCACTCCATCCCCCAAAGTCAGAGACCCATCACCATAAAAGCAGCCCTGATCCTGCTGACACTGCCCCACTGCCCCGCACAGACAGCTGTGGTCAGAGTCAGCTACACTTCCAGGCAAAAAAGGGGTTAAGAGAAAAAAAAAACAAAAAAGAAAAATCCGAATCCATTTGGGAAAAAAATAACCAAATGACCTCAAACCTCCTAGAAGAGAATTAAAATTACAGCAAATAAGCAAATGCCCTCCTCGCGCCAGCCCTGGGTTTGTAGCGGTGACAGCGGTGTGCTCCCTTGGGTCACCCGTACCCGCAAAGGCAGCTGCTCGCTGCAGTAATTCACTAGCAGGAGTTTGCTATCAGTAACTGCCTGCCCTACCCCGGCAGTTCTGGGGGGGTTCCTTGGGGGTGACAGCAGCCCCCACCTCCTCCCTCCCTGGGGATGCTTCCTTGGGCATCCCCAGGTAAAGAGATCCCCCCCATGCCATGCTGGACTGAGCCCCTGCCGGGAGCAGGGTTATTCCCACCCAGTCCTGATCCCCGAGAGCCCCTGCCATCAAAGCAGACATTATTACTACAAATCTTATTGCTTGCAGTGCCCCCCGCCCTGGGGAAGGGCCATCCTGGCCAGCCATGGGAGCTCACTGCCTCCCTGGGGACCGTGGCCATCGGCCAGGCCTGACATCATCAAAACGAGATGAAGAGTTAATGCTTCAACTTTGATGTGACATAAAACCAAACGGAACACCACCACCACCCACCCCACCTCATCCCACCCTACCCTGTCCCACCCTGTCCCATCCCCCCCACGCAATAGCCAGCCCTTTGGTTGCGGCACACGGGGCGATACAGCCCCGCCAACCAACACACCAGTCAGAACAAGAACCTGTGGAAAGCCCATGTAATAAATATTTAAAAAACCTATTTACAATATTAGATCTGTGAGCATGAAGTGAGAGAAAAACCTTTTTCCTGTCCCCAAAAATCTTAAAAAGTAGGTTAGCATCCTGCTGCCTAGCACAACACTATCTTACATGGCACCTACACATAATATATATTCACATTTCATTTTAAAATTAGGTACTCTTACAAACAGACTTAGAAAACATTGGCTAGCAATGCAGCCCGTGGGACCGCCTGGCCTCCAGACCCATGTCACAAATGCCGGCCGGCTGCATCCCAGCTCCTTCGGCTGCCCCAAAGCTGCCAACGTGCCCTGAATCAAAACCGCCAGCTGCCCTCCGCCGCCCTTCAGGGAGAGGGTGGAAGTGCTCGTGAAGGAGAGGGCTTGTCCGCGGAGAAGGAGGGAGGGAGGATGGGGACTGTGATTTCTGCTAAGCCTAGGGGTGAGCTTAATACAAACAAGAACTCCTGAGAACATCTTAGAACAGATGGATTCATTTCACAACCACCAAGCTAAAGGATGGGCCAAATGGATACTACGACACACGGGGGAGAATGCACACGACGTGGGGACATCGTAGCCTTGTGGTTTGCTCAAAAGAACTACCGCAACAAGAAAAGCTGCAGAAGTGTTCCCTGGTGGGGGGGAGCCTACCCCTATCTTGCTCCTGGGCTGTCCAGGCGTACAGTCCAAGGATGCAGACCCGAGTACACCCTGGCTGGGGCTCGGCCCTCTTCTCCCAGCACGACTGCTGGTGGTGGGAAGTTGAGAGCCCAACCTGGGCCACCATCCACACCTCCCTGCTGCACCAGGAACTGCCTGTGCCTATGGAAGGCTGGGAATCATAGCTTTCTCAGTCATCTTCTACTGGGAATGCAATTGTCAGGCTAAAAGAATATGAGCTGGAGAGAGAAAATGTTCATCAGTAAGTTTTAAAAACAGGGCACCACTACATCTGATCGTGTCTCTATTTCCTGGGAGGTTACTGGGAACTAGCAGAGCTTTTGGAAACACCAGCATTTCCAGAGGTGCCACGAGAGCAGCTGGGACATGGGATGGGCTGCATCTTTGCTTGTTTGCACGTCAGCAAAAACCAGCATGGGCAGCCCACCAGCCCACTCAGTCCAGCACCACATGGCTCCCCCAGCACAGGAGGGACAGGGATGCAGAGAGCAGCAGTGACAATTTCATCCCACTCTCCCAGCTCATGGACATGATTAGCAACACAGAGGAAAATTTGCTGGAAGCATCAGCACTGGCTGGACGGTTCTTCAGGGAAGGTTTGCTGCAAATGCATCTCACTGATGTGCTGGAAATTGACTACAGAAACTCCACTGCACACAGCAACCACCAGCAAACAGGACCTCACCAGGGACGAGTCAGTGATGAAAATAAACACATGCATGCCTTGGGTATATTGCATGCACCCTGTCAGCAGGGAAACCCATTCCAGGGTTAGCCTTCCTAGACAAGATCCTAACAACTACAGGTAGTAAAGGCCACTCTGGGCTCAAACTGCTCTCACTGCAGCACTCAACCCCCAACATAAGTTTTGACTATGAGCTTGGCAAGCGGAGCTCCTCCTGGAGGTTAATTAAGATAGACAGATCCTGACCATGAGAAGTGGGAAGACTCAGAGCTGCCAATGACAAAGTGAGAGAGGAAAAGATAAGCATGCAAATGAGAGGGGGGGCTGGCAGCAGAGGGATAGTGAGGACATCTGTGAAGGTGCAGAGCTAAGAAAATGCTGCACCTGGTACATGGACTGGGGTGCATGATGGAGACTAGTTTCAAGAAAACCACGAGAAAGTGGCCAGCAAGGACAGCTGAAGTAACTGGAAGAGATCTGCTTTGTGGGATGAAGCACTTGAAATCTAGAGCTGAAGAAACACAGGGAGCTGTAGGGTGGCGCAGGAGACGAGGAGCGCAGTGAGGCTGCGGATCTGAGGATGGCACTGTGGTAGTGCCAGTGGGCAGCTCTGCACAATAGCACATGGAAACGCACTCCGTGTCCATGTGGAATAAGGCAATAAATCGTGTTGCTTATTTTCATCCGTTCATTAAGCTCCTCTGTTGCTCCCTGTGCATCCCTTGCATGGCGTAAGAGCTGCCTTTATGGGGAACAGTCTGCTTTAAAGCAGGGGCTGTGCCTCAGCAACTCACCTTGCCATTGTCTCTCTGCAGGGCAAACAAGAACGAGTAGCGCATGCCATTAATGAGAGCAACAGGTTATATGCATGTGGTATCACCTCTGCTTACTTCTGTGTCACTTGTGCACTGTTCTAGCTGAAACGTGGCTTCATGAAGAGAGGAAATACGGAAGTACATTGACAAGAGAGTAATGAATGCAACATGAGGATGGATTGGGGAAAAAAAAAAAAAGAGAAAAAAATTCAAATTTCTTAGCACTGACAAAAAAAAAAATGGAGCTACCCAGGCAATGCTACCTTGCCAGGCAATCACCTCACAGGCAGACCCTTTAATTTGCTACCAGTTCAATTTTCTAGCAAATTACAGCATTCCTTCTTCCTGCCCCAAAATAAAGCACTCAGAAAAGCAAGTGCAAAGCACAAACACATTAAAAGCAGGTTTTGTAGTGTGCAAGGCCTGACTGCTATTCCTGATGTCAAATGGAGAATGCACACAGGAGAGGCAGAGGACCCAAAGACAGCATCTCCAGGAGCAGTGACAGCACGGAGAGAAGCTTGGCAAGGAGCTGGG